TGAAAAATAACCGTGAGTGTTAGTACTGCCTCCTCTAGCACCCACCTGCCAAATTGGAGAAGACCAAGTTGAAGGGGTGATATCTGATGGTTCTGGTAAAGCTACTTCTAGTTTGGTTTTCATCCGTATTAGGGATCAGCTTAAGGGGATATTTGGGTAGAAACAAAATCATGATTTTAAAAGTGTTTTTACTGTATACAAAGTAAATATATAGAGGAATTTGTTTTGTTTTGTGGAAAAATGTTTTTGAGTGGGAAGTGCAACTGAAGCGTGTTGCTGGAGATCAAAGTGAAAGTGTGCTTGCTCATGATTTAGCAAAAGAAGGAAGAACTACTACAGCTATTTTGAATGGCTGTCCGCCTCATCTGCGGACTTTGGCAGGTAAAGATTGATTGGCATTTAATCCTCTTCTTCCTTCAATTTATAGTTAGGCCTTGGCCTTTTTTTATACCCAAAAAAAAAAAACGAAATTCCGTAAATGACAAGGACAAGCATCTAAAAGCACAGCAGAAGAAAATCCTCCTTTAGCCCAGGCGTCAGCAAGAGTATTTTCTTATCTTGCAATATAATTAATAAAAAGCTCCCAATTGAACTCTATAAAGTGTCTATCTTACATACTACATGTTTTTTCTGTTAAAATTTTAAAACGCAATTTTTCCAAATCAAGTATAGTAAAATTTTTCTTCCCTCTCTATTTCACTCACACCAAAGATAGGGTAAAAATACTTTATTATCATGCTATGATTATTTGGATTTTTTGTTTCCTGGTATTTGACTTAAATATTTAGATTTGAAATACAATCCAAGGCCAATAAGAGTGAATGTATATTATCATCCTCAATCCTTTACCAAGACGCATGGAGTGGCTTTCCGAAAAGGTCTGCATGACACGGCTATCAACGACTCAATTCCACAAGTGAACATACGGCTGATTATAGTAATAAAATAGCTCGGGGTAGTATTCCAAGTGCTAAACTTATAAGGAGATTAAATTTATACTAATTAGTAAATTTAGCTCTAATGCAATATAATGATTGTATGGGAATAAAAATTTGTAAAAAGATAAAGAATAAAAGAAACAAATATTGACTCAATCAATAGTGTCACAGGATAATTGAAATTAAATTTTAGTTAGGATGACTAAACTTCATTATTATAGTGGATATTCTTTCTATATTATCCTAGTTATCCCTCGGTTAACTAGCTTAATCCTCTCTTGTGCAATCTAAAGACGTAATCAAACCATGAAATAATTATAATGTAAGTCACATTGAATTCCTAATATATCTTTAATTCTGTTATCCGTGTCTAAGTCTTCAAAGCTCGGTATTTTCTTTCTTCTTTTTTGACACGCTGCCACCTCCCACTCTCTGTGCGACATGGATCTTATCTCTTCAAGTAACTCCGGCCGCCGCTGGTGTCGACTTATGTCAGTCTCCGCGGCTAGCTGAACTACCTCATCTGCATCCGAATCCACAACTGGTCTCCTTGAACCCTTATCCCATGCCATTTTGAGAACGCCCATAGTTCTGCCGTCAGGCTGCTGTCAGCGGCGCCATGGTGAGAGATGAAACCTCCAATGAACGTGCCGTCCTCTCGCCTAAGAGCTCCGCCGCACCCAACTCCCAAAGAAGGCGTGAAAGCCCCATCGAAGTTTAGCTTAGTCCACCCAAGTTGCTGCCTCTGCCACTGCGCTTCAGTGTCTCTGACCACATGTCCATTTAACCTTGTGAGCTTTCTTGCATCCCCCTGCACGCAATAGATCTTGCCATTTTCTTCATCTCCCATTCCTACAAGTATACTCATTAATTAGATATCATGACCGTAGTTAAGAAATCTCAATCTTATGATTGAGATGGAAAGTAAATAGAAATAGGGGAGAAAATGTCAGTTTTACAATGCTGCAGTGCCTTCTCATGTTTTCAACTCTAGCCTAGGTAGTTTCCATTTCGCGCTCGTCAACATTACAGACAAAATCATCATCAGAAGGAAAATTTGAGGAAAATTAAAGAACTCAAGCTAAAATGTTAAAATAAATTTTAAATAGAGAAAAAGTGGATATCTAATTACAATCTGTATTATATGTAGGCTAATTTAGAAATTATAGAATAAAAATTATACAAATTTTGTAATAAAAAGAGTGTCATGCGCCCACACGCACTTGTCAATATCATATCAACACCGATGATCAGTTTTTCTTCTTCTTCTTCTTTTTTTTTTGGTTTCAAATGAAATACAAGATCATGGATAGAGACATGCAAAGAAAGACAAAACCAAACCAAACCAAATCAGGGCTTTTTATTATCCTTCCTAGCATCGGATATGGTGCTTTGGGTTTCTGGTAATCTGAACAGAAACCCAAATTCGGAAGTCACCGGAAGAGGGCTACGTAGGCAGAGGTGAATGTTGTTCAAGGTGGCTTCATATTATTTCACGTTGGTAGAGGAGATGACTATCACGCTGAAGAATGGGGGAATTCTGTGGGGTTTAGAGATTGCAAGGAACTTGGGTTTCTGGCTATGTGGATGGAATCGGACTGTCCGGAACTTGTGGAGGGTATTGGTAGTCCTGGGCCAGGAGGAGGGCCCATAAGAGGATCTTCTACGCGGGATAGGCAGCGGCTTGAATAGAGAGCGGGAACTGCTCCTCGTCTGGTGTGGGCGTGAGGCGAACAGCGTGGCGGACAGACCGGCGAAACAAGCTTTGGGTTGCCCGGAGGGAGTTGTCTGTTTTTCTCAGACTGCAGAGTGTACTCGGCACGTTTTGAGCTAGGCTTGTAGTCTTAAAAATTGATTATCTCTTTATTTTGTCGAAATTAAATTATAAAAACCTCATTTCTATTTTAAAAATGTGTATAAATCTTCCTTAAAATTAAAATGTATATTTCACACACTTTTTTTATATGATTGACATTCTATTTTTTATACATCAAATCATTAGTTAATCGTTAAGTTTAATTTTTAAACTTTTATTTTGATTAAAATATTCTTTAACATAAATATTATTTAAACATTTATATCTATATAAAAAAATTATTTTTAACGTAAGAAAAATGAATTATAATACATGTAATTTAAAATTTTTGTGAAATTTATTTATTTACATTTCTTTTAGATGGGTAAGAAATATTTTAGATGCTTATTTTTTACCAGATAATATAAATTATGTGAGTTTGAGAATTATATAAATTATTTAAATTTATAATTTTAAATTTTTAAACAAAAATTTTGTTTCAAACATTTATAAGTTATTTGATCAATTATTTGTTTATTTAAAAAATAATTAATTTTTCATTTAATTTTTTTATGTTTATATAAACCAAATTACTTAATTTTCTGTTCCACTATAATAAAAACTTTAAAGAAATAATTATTTATAAGAAATAAAAAATTGAAGTAAAGAAAAAAATTTAAATTCTTCTAAATAATACTATGAAGAGTAAATTAATAAAGAAAAAAATTTCAACATAAATTTTAATTAAAGAGTTTTTTTTTAAAATATTGTTGGCACAGTTAATAATTTAGACTTAAACAAATATTTTTAAAATAGACAAGAGATATTGTTGTTCTTCTTCCCGTTGGAGTTCCAAAGACGGTAGATGTAAACGCGTAGACTAATTCACTTTTCGGGAATTCTAGGAAACGAACAAAGAAGAGAGAGAAAGTTAGAGAGAGAACGTGTGAGCTTTTCCTTCCCATGACAACAATTGACGACAACCTCCCGAAACAACCACCTGACCGTCCGATGGACGGAACAGAGGAAGTGAAGGGAGGTAGTAAACGCGAACAGAGCACGAATGAGATTAGGGAGATGGATACTCCTCAACAACAGACAGCTGAAGTAGGGAACCTGCGCATAACACAAAGCGATGAAATGCTGAGAGGAAAGTTGCAACGGAAAGAAGGAGAATTCACAGGAAATATTTCGATTACACCGAGAGACGAAGACTGGATGAACACTAAAGAATGTGTTGAAGTGCCGGTGCAAGAAACAATCCTGTCCTACAGAGAAGTCCTGAAGCCAAGGAATGACGACAGAGAAGGGTCACAGAGAAAGGAACAACAGGAGGAGATTTGGGATGGCAACCTACTGTTAAACAATGAACAGGAATTATTCAAGGGTGTATCTGTCAAAGACTCAGTAGCAGGACCAATAATCGAATTCTCTGAAGAAGAAAGGAGGAGACTTGCTAAAAGATGGGAATTTTCCCTTATCATCAAGTTGTTGGGAGGTACGATGGGCTTTATGCGGATGAGGAGACATATCCAAACCATGTGGGGAAAAGGTGGGAATGTAGATCTCTCATATATCGGTAACGGGTATATGATAGCTACCTTCCAAAACATAGATGATTATTACTTCGCGATTGAGGGCGGGCCATGGCTGATCCAAAATCACTACCTGACAGTTCAAACATGGAAACCTAATTTCAACCCCTGGAATGAAAAGATTCAAAGGGTGACTGTATGGGTTCGTCTTCTTGGACTTCCTGGAGACTATTATGACAAGAAATTTTTCTTCCACCTGGGGAATAAAATAGGGAAAGCGATCAAGGTTGATGAAATGACCTACCTAAGAGCTCGAAGAATGTATGCCAGAATGTGTGTAGAAATTGACCTGAATGCTCCACTTCTTCCAGCGTATACAGTGGACGGAAACAGATTGAAGATAGAGTATGAAGGACTCCATATGATCTGCTTTGTCTGCGGAAAGTTTGGCCATGATTCGACACACTGTCCATCTAGGAAAAACCAAGAGGAAGCATGGAATAACACACACAGGAATCCCGAAGAAGAGAAAAATGCTGAAGAACACACCAAAACTCCGGTCAACAATCCGGCGAGTGTGTATGGGGAATGGATGGTGGCACAAAGACCAAAAAGAGGACGACGGCCTGTCACGAAAGAAAACAGGGCAGAAGAAGATCAGAGGAGAGGATACAGGGCGGCGAGTAGAATAGGTGTTGACTCTAGATTCACAGTGCTCGAGATGGAAGAGGGAAGAGAAGGTAGCGAGAGATCTGAGAAGGAAACCCGGATGCCACTGAAAGACCTCTCCAACCAAACCGAAAAAGAAGCAAGTCGAGGATCTGACATGGGGGCACCTAGGAAATACACAGGGGGAGCAAAGCAGAAGAAAGAGAATCAGAAAAAAGGAGCAGAGTTAAGAGAGAGAAAATCAAATGAGACAAAAAAGAAAGAGGAAGTACAAGGGAGGGAAAAGGAGGAAAATGAAAAGAGAGACAAGGAGAAGGACACGGAGGCCTCGAAGAGTGCGAAAGGGGAATCTCAAAGGAGTCAAAATGGGGAAAAACTAAAGGGAGCAAAAAATGAGACCAATAAGGAAGCAAAAGCCCAAAATGAGGTCAAGCAAAAAAGACAGCCCAAGACACAACCCAATACAATAGGAAAGGCACTAGACACAGAGATGGATGAAAATACCGTGGAACACTCCTTGGAAAGTCTACCAGAGGAAGTGGAAGAAACAATGGAAGTGGACCAGCCCAAACCACCCGACCCATTAGAAAATTATGAGCCTTTGGGGCTATCAGATGTGGAACGGGATATGCTAGGATCAAAGGAGAACAGTGGAGATGAGAAGCAGAAGAGTGAGATCGCTATAGATAGCGATGGTGATTCACGTGATCAGTAAGCGTGGTCGTAATCTTTTTCTGATTGTCATTATGATTTTAGTTTGGAATGCAAGAGGAGCAGCCGGAAGAGAATTCGGTTATGCTTTGAAGGAAATGGGGAGGAAATTTAAACCTAAGATAGTAGTCCTTGTTGAACCAAGGTGCAATAGCGACTCAGCACAGAGAGTTCTTAAAAGACTGGGATTTAAATACCAGGAAGTAGTGCCGGCAGTGGGAATGTCAGGGGGCATCTGGGTCCTCTGGAATAATGACAACATCCAATTTAAGGTTTTAGAGAGACATAGACAGTACCTTCACGGAAAAATTTCTGGAATTGGCATTAGATGTTGGTGCTTCACTGCAATCTATGCTAGCCCAAGAGAACCGGAAAGGAAAGAACTCTAGGTAGAACTCAAGAGAATATCTAGTACGATGAATTCTCCCTGGCTCCTTACTGGAGACTTCAATGACATTAAGCACCCATCTGAACAGAGAGGAGGAATACCTGTTAGGGAGAGTAAATGCAGAAGATTTAAAAACAATATAGATGAGTGCAAGCTGATAGACATGGGCTCAGAAGGACCAAAATACACTTGGAGAGGGCCTATCATCCAAAATGCAAGCCGAATGTACAAAAAGCTAGATAGAGCTCTCTGCAATGCAAACTGGAGAAATCTGTTCCATGAGGCATTCGTGAAAGTTGGACCAAGGATAAACTCTGATCATCACCCACTATGCATATACTTGAACAATACAAGGGGTAATATAACTGCGCGTCCTTTCTGGTTTGAAGCAGCCTGGCTACTTCATAACTAGTTCAGAGAAATGCTGAAAGAAAATTGGACAGGGGTAAAAGAGTTGGATGTGGAATTAAATGACCTGACACCAAGATTACAGGAGTGGAATAGCAACACCTTTGGTCATATAGCAAGGAAAAAAAATGAGCTGTTGGGAAGAATTGCTGGGATTCAGAAACATAATCAAGATAAAACTAACCTTTATTTGGAAGATTTGGAAAGGAAATTGAAGAAAGAACTGCTCGAAATACAGGAGAGGGAAGAGATCTTGTGGTTTCAAAAAGCAAGGACCAAATGGTTACAGGATGGGGATCGCAACACAAGATTCTATCATACGAAAACCTCCATCCGGAGAAGGAAGAATCGAGTATCAACTCTAAAGGATGGAGACAACAAGTGGGTTGAAGGCAAAGAGAATGTCGGAAAATTGATCATGGAATTCTTCAAAAATTTATTCCACGAGGAGGATGAAGAAATGCAATGGACTCAAACAGTCCATCAATGGCCAGAGATTAATGAAGAAGCCTGGGAAGATTTAAGTGGAGAGGTTACAAGAGAAGAAATAAGGAGTGCAATATTTTCAATTGGAGGATTCAAAGCTCCAGGAGAAGATGGCTACCCAGCAGTTTTCTTCCAAAAGAATTGGGAAGTAGTTGGAGAAAGTGTTTACAACAGCATAAAGAAACTTTGGGAGGAACCAGAAAGAATAGGGGATGTGAACCAGACTCTTTTGACTTTAATACCCAAGGTGGACAACCCGGTAGGAGTTAACCAATTCAAGCCTATCTCGTTATGTAATGTGGGATATAAATGTTTATCAAAAATCTTGGTGCAGCGTTTGAAGAGCATTTTGGACAAGATAGTGTCCCCCTTCCAAGCAAGTTTTGTTCCAGGAAAGAATATACATGACAACATTATAGTAGTGGAGGAAATGATTCATACCATGAGAAGGAAAAGAGGTAAGAAGGGCTATATGGCAATAAAAGTGGATCTAGAGAAAGCTTATGATCGAATGAGCTGGAAGTTTTTAGACAAGGTGTTAAAAGAAGTCAAATGCCCGGATACAATGAGAAGAAGAGTAATGCAGTGTGTAACATCGACTTCCATCAAGATCCTATGGCATGGTGAAAAACTTGAACAATTCTTCCCTTCTAGGGGTGTGCGACAAGGAGATCCAATCTCTCCTTATCTCTTTGTGCTTGGAATGGAAAAGCTCACACACATCATTTTAGATAGAGTGAGAGAGAAACAGTGGAGAGGAGTGAGAGCAGGCAGAAATGGACCAACAATTTCACATATGATGTTCACCGATGACCTCGTGCTCTTTGCCGAGGCTAATACTAACCAGATTGATCTTATTTTGAATTGCTTGCAGGATTTCAGCAGGTGCTCGGGACATAAAGTGAGCAGCGACAAAACCCAAATATATTTCTCCCCAAATGTAAACGCGGAAACCAAGAGGAATATATGTGGAAGATGCAAATTCAAGCAAGTGGACGATCTAGGAAGATATCTAGGAGCTGAGATTGTGCATTACAGGAAAAGAAGTAGAAAATACAGCACTGTCATGGACAAATTGAAAAAAAGGCTAAACGGTTGGAAGGCAAAAAGTCTATCATTAGCCGGTAGAATGACACTTGTGAAAACGGTTATAGGATCTATGGCCCTCTACCCTATGCAGCACGACAGGCTTCCACAGGGCACAATTAAATCGATGGAGCAAGAACAAAGAAAGTTCATATGGGGAGAACAGGGGGAGACAAGAAAAAGACACCTAGTGTCTTGGAAGACCTTATGTAGACCGAAAGGGTGTGGGGGAGCAGACATTAAGTCTTTAGAGTGTATGAATGAAGCGTTTCTTCTGAAGCTACTATGGAAAATTGATACTTCTCCGAATGAGCTGTGGGTCCAAGTGCTTCAAGCAAAATATGGAGAAAGGGGGGAAAATCAAGGGGTCAAAATAGCAAAGAATTATGATTCTAGATTGTGGAGAGAACTAATAAAGATGGCAGATACCTATCAGAAACTGATAATGAAAGAAGTTAGGAATGGTCATAACACCTTTGTTTGGTCAGATAGATGGGTCCATGGAGAACAGACACTAAGCTCATATCTACCGGTAGAAGCGAATGTGAATAAGAACCTAAGAGTTAAAGACCTTATAGATGAAAATGGGGTGTGGAGAACTGCAGAGATTGAACAATGGTTACCAAGAGACACTCTGGACAGAATAACAAGAACCGTACCACCATATTGCAGAGATGGTGAGGAAGACAGGTTGAAATGGATGCTGACGGGGGATGGACAATTCTCTACTAAAAGTGCTTATAAGTGGCTTTTAGGATGTCAGAATGGAACGGGAAGCCAGTTTTGGAAGACCGTGTGGAAGCTACAGGTACCAGAAAGAGTCAGAGCGTTCATATGGATAGCAGGACACAACAGGTTATTGACAGGCAACCTAATGAAAAAATGGGACGGTAGCTCCGGGCTATGTCAGCTCTGCAACTATTGTGAAGAAGACGGGTTACACGCCTTGAGAGACTGTACATGGGCAAAGCAAATCTGGAAAAGGCTTGTGCAAAGGGATGAGGAAGAGGGGTTCTTCAAAGCGAACTGGAGAAACTGGCTAGAAAACAATCTGAATAACAAAGCCAGAAGGAAAGAATGTACATTCTGGCCTGAACTTTTTGCAATCAGCTGCTGGTCTATTTGGCGATGGAGAAATCTAAGAATCCATGGACATGAGGAGGAAGTACCAAAAAATGCCGCTTTCATCATCAAACAATACCATGCTAATTATATGAGGAGATGGAACGGTGAACCCATGCAGCAAGGAGATGGAGAAATGTGCTTCATAAGCTGGAAACTACCTAGGGAGGGCTGGTGTAAGGTGAATACGGATGGCACGATGAAAAGAAGGGGTGAGGCAGGATGTGGAGGGCTTATTAGAGGAGATGAAGGAGAGTGGATCCGAGGCTTCTCGAGTAAACTTAATGTTGGAACTGCAAGAGAAGCCGAAGCGTGGGGGATATGGGAAGGCATGCAACTTTGTTGGGAGCTGGGGTTCAAGAAAATAGAAGTTGAAAGTGATGATGCTACTTTAATTTCGGAACTCACCATAAAGGGGAAAATTCCAGGATGCTACTTAATCTCAAGAAAGATAGAGGAGCTCACTGCTCGTGACTGGGAAGTAAGATTCATGTATATCCAGAGAGAAGGAAATCGGAGCGCAGACATTCTAGCGAACCTAAGCTGGAAACAGGATGACATAAAGTCCATATGGGTCAAACCACCGGATGAAGTCAAAGAAGCGTTGCAAAACGATCGTTGTGGTCATGGCGTATACCGCCAAGTGTACTCTTGAAGTTGTAACTTGTCTAGGCTTTGCCTCTCTTGTCACCAAAAAAAAAAACGCGTAGACTAATTCAGCTTATGGAGCTTCTTGTTATCGTCTTCTTCCCCAAAAAAACGAAGATATCGAAACCTTCCCTGAGTCCCTTCCCAATTGCTTATTGAGCTTCTCAATGATCAACCAGAACTGCAACTGAACTTGCCATAGAAATATCTATGCACAATAAC